TGTGGATGTGGGGAGTGGTATTCACACAGAGGGGGAGCGGGGTGGAGTTGCGGGTGTGCGCGTGCATGAGGAGGCCAGGGGAGGACATTAGCTGTCTTCTTCTATTGATCCCCATCTTACTTATCTATTTATTTATTTAGGTCATTTCTCACTGAACCTGAACCTTGCCAGTTTGGCTAGACTATCTGGCCATCAAGCCCCAGGGATGTCCTGCTTCTGCCCTTCAGTGCTGGTGTTACTGGCATGCACGGCCATGCTCTCAGCTGTGTGTGTGTGTGTGTGTGTGTGTGTGTGTGTGTGTGTGTGTATTAATGCTCTCACTGTTCACTGGTCTGTACTCTTTCTTAGTGAGGCATCTTCTCAGCTCTCATTTCATCTTACTCGAAGCAAGTTGAAGATTATTACTTAATGCAGTGACTCAATGGCTTTGCCACAGCTCTGCTGAGTCTTCACTGGTGACTAGCAAGCAAGCAAGCTCTGTCTAGCTCTCATCCACCCATCTATCTCTTTAACTCTCTCCTATCAACTGGTCAGTGTGTAAGTGTCCCTCAGCCATCTGTGCACTGTGTTACCTTCTGAGAATAGCCCATGAGCACCTATTTGAGTATCAAGTGTAGGCCCAGTTTTAGTATCTTTGCGCTGAAAGTGACTTTCTGTCACTTCCAGGTTACTGGGTCCTCTGAATCAGTGGCTTCAGGCTCCGTTACCTTCAGTCTTCCTACTATAATAAGACAGCTTCTGGGGAAAGCCTGCAGACAGAGGGGTGCCTGAAAATACCCATGGGCCCAGTGGGAAGGTGTTTGGCTGAGGCCTCTATTTTACCACATCCTGTTTACTGTTTATGACGTTGTTTTTTTTTTATATTTTTCTTGAGACAGGCTACACTGTGTAGCCCTGCCTGGTCTGGAACTCATTATGTAGACCAGGGTGGCCTCGAATTCACAAAGATCTGCCTACCTCTGCCTCCTGAGGGCTGGAATTAAAGCCATGTAATGCCACACTGGCTATTTATGAAGATATTTTTCTTTTTCCATAATTCTCCTTCCTTCATTCTTTCTCTATTCTTCCCTCCCTTCTCTCGTCCCTTCTCCCATCTTATCTTCCCGACTCTCTTTGTTTCTTTCTTTCCCTTTTGATGGATCTCATGTAACTCAGGCAAGTCTTGAACCCCGGATCCTTCCACTGCCACCTTCCAAGTGCTGGGATTACAGGTGTGTGGCACCATGAAGGGTTCTGAAGTAGAAACCAGCTAGGTCCATGGTGGAAATAGTTGTTACCTCAGGGAAGAAAAGATGCACTTTAAGTGTATGCCAGTGTTCTGAGCAGACCCCCGCAGCATTGCCCAAATGTGGAAACAGCCCAAGTGCCCATCAACAGGAGAATGGATACGTGGGGTGCACCCATGCCAAGAGGACTGCTCAGCCATGAAACAATGAAGATCTACAACATGCTTCCCCATGGATGGAACTTGGAGACGTTTGCTGAGTGAAAGAAGCCAGACTCAAAAGCATCCCTGACTGACTCCGTTTACAGGAAGTTTCTAGAATATGTAAATACATAGAGAAGTAGATTCGGGGTCCCCAGGTTAAGACTAGTTGGGAGTCAGAGCATTTCTGGACGCAGAGCTTCACTGAGGGTAACAAACATTTTTGGAAAGTGTTGATGGTTTCCTAACAGTGTGAATGTGGTTAAAATGCTACTGAATTCTAGACTGGAAAAGGGCAATTAGGTTACATTCATTTTATCACAATAAAAGATAGTTTAAAATGTACATAATAATGATAATACTATAAGTATCTCAAGATTTCTGGTATTGATATCTAAATAGCAAAGCAAGGGAAATAAGAAGTTCCAAGGGTGGGGGAAGGGCAGGACAGCAAATATGGCTGGAGGACCCAGGGGGCTTCAGATCACCCAGGAAAGGTTCCAGCAGGAAGAAACATGGGGATCAAGTTTGTCTGAGGGGGAAATTACTCATGCATGTGTGCCTGTTACAGTGTGCTTTGGACAGAGACTAATACTAGGGGAGTCTGAATATCCAGGGGACAGGGCTAGGCAAAGGGTCCTTAGTTCTAGGGTTCCACGGGGCCTCTTTAAGAGCCGTTAAGAAAAAGGAGACCCACCTAACTCTAGGTCTTGCGACCTGTTTATTACAAGCATCACCTGCTGTAATGGAGCCCAGAGTGAGTGCTCCTGGCTACAGCTGGAGAAACAGGAGACACCCACATGGCCATGAGTTCAGAGATGAAGGTCATCTGTGTGAGCACTGAATCTGCTGCCCTGGCCACCTGTGTTCCCAGCACTTTCTTCTCAAGGATTGTGCCCTATTTAGCTGAATAGGGGTGTTGCCCTCAAGCTGGGAAAAGCTGAATTGCCTCACTGTTGTTGCCAATTGGCGAGGGATAGATGTGTCAGCTTGAGCTTGGAGGCTGGCTCTGCCTCCTGGGAGCTGCTCCTTCCAGACCCCTGCTCCCCTGCTTCCAACTGAGACCAGCTTCCCACTCCCTGCCCACTGTCCACCACTCTTCTCCAGTACTGCTGGCCGGTTGAACTTTGTGCCTTTCTCACAAGAGCAGTGGCTTCTGTTTACTTTCGACCGCAGGGCTCCCAGCTGTGTCTGTGCTTTGAAACTCATTGGTATGTCAGTCGCCGCCTCTCAGCGGTGTCCTGGAGTCCCCAACCGTGTGCTCTGTGTCCTCTTGTGGGTAGGCTGAGATCAGCCGGGAATGTTTGTCATAGATTTCCATACATATCACAAACCAGAGCTTGTACATGCTGGGTTTGGGGTTCTAGATTCTGGCAAGAACAGCTCTGACATGCTAGGTAGGACTTTGTTTCTTGTAGACAGTCCAAAGCTTTTAACAGTGTGGTTTGTATAGTTGGGCTACCTGGGAGACATAACTTAGCTCTGAAAGACATTTTGTACTTGTGAGGCATCCTCAGTCAAATTGCTGCTTCTAAACTTAGAGTTCTTCAGTAGGAGAACTTGCCATGCCCTCTCAGCCCAAGACCCCAAGGTTCAAATGCAAGAGATGGGCCCTTCTGCCAGACTGGGCATTGGTACAGTGTCCAGGTGCATCAAAAACACACTAAGCAGGCTTCTGAAGTCTCTATGGCTAGTTTAGCTCATGCACAGTGCTAGGTTCATCTTGAAAGGCTAAAGAGAAGTGTTACAGGCACAAAGAAAAGAGTTTGGTCTTATTGTGTTTCAGCTGTCAGAACTTTGATACATTTAGGGCTATTTACAGTATTTTTGTCATTCATTGTGTTTTCCATAAAAATGTCCTAAGATAATGCTGTGGAGCTGGGTGGTGGTGGCACATGCCTTTAACCCCAGCACTTGGGAAGCAGAGACAGGCAGGTCTCTGAGTTTGAGGCCAGCCTGGTCTACAGAGCGAATGCCAGGACAGGCTCTAAGGCTACAGAAAAACCCTGTCTCAGAAAAAAAAAAGCCTGTGAATTTCCAATTTTTACTCCCAGTTTTGGGTTGAGTTGTCATCCTTTCTCCATCATATGTTGAATTTCTAAACCCCCAGTATCACAGAAGGAATCTGATTTGTATGTAGGGTCACTGTAGATGCAGTGTGTTTAGAATGAGGGCTTGCTGGAGCATGGCAAAACCCTAACCAAATATGACTGGTCCTATAAACAGGGAACATTTGGAAACACTGTAGCCATAAAGACACTGTTAGCCCAGGAAGAGGAGGCAGGCACAAATCCCTTCCTCTCAGCTTTCAGCACCTGAAGCCACTTTGCTAGACTGAGTCTTTGCTCACAGCCTGCTAGCCTCTAGAGTGTGCACCTGTCATTTTAACCGCCTAGTCTGAGCTCTTCGACAAGCCTACCAAACTAGTACACTCCCAAAGAAATAGTTTCCTTCTGGTATCCCGCCACAATTTGCAGACAAGCAAAATTGAAATGGTTCTCTAAGGCCTCAAACATTTTTGTGTAGAGGTATCTTAAAAATCACTTTAGATGAGCTGGGTATGATGGTGCACACCTTTAATCCCAGCACTCAGAGGCAAGAAGCAGGCAGATTATCTGAGCCTGTTCTACAGTGAGTTTCAGGACAGCCAGGGCTATATGGTGGGTGGGTGGGGGATTACTTAGACTATGGGGAAACTGAGGAAATGGAAATGTTGCTGTCCTGAAGGAAGTCAGAACTAGCCCCAACAGCCTAGAAACGGTAAATAAATTATTTAATAAACATTAAAGACTGGATAGATATGGCATCATACCCCTGGAATCCTGGCGCTTTGTGGGACTGATGCAGAAGGTGGTTAAAGACTAGCCTAGGGTATATAAAGAGACCCCCATCTCAAAAAGCCAGGAAAAAATAAGGAAAAGAAATGCAAGGCACACTAAATGGCTATCCTGATAGTTTTTATAGTTCACAGCATTCCATTCCTATTTATCCAGAACAATGCTTTCTAGAACTGTGCTTTCATCGGATATACTTCTCTCATCTTGACATCATTTCTCGTTTTCAATTGTTTTTCCCTGGTTTCAGTAGATTTTCTAAAGTCGGAGGTGTTTTAGTTTTCGTTTATGTTACTCTGAGGAAAGGGGCTCCAGCTGTTTTACAGGTTTCCGTTTTATTTTGGTATTTTACCGAATGAGTAACCTGCTCAGCCCCTAAGCGTCTTGAGCCCCGCAGCCGCGCTCAGGATGTTGTTAAAGAAGTGCCCACCAGGGGTCAGCACAGGCCCGGCGTTGGCCTGAAGTGTCCCACAATGCACCGGGTTTCAGGCACGCCGGGCGGGCCCGTCAGAACTGCCCATGCGCCTGTGCGGCCGACCCTCAAGCGGTGGGGCGGGGCATCCCCATCGGGGGCGCGGCCTGGACATTTGGGCAGGGTCTAGTTCCATAGGGCGTGGTCTATAGAACTAGAGGGCGTGGCCTAGTTTTGAGGCGGGACCTAGCTGTAGGGGCGGGGCCTGGCGTCGTCTGGAAGGAGGTGGGGGGGGTGATGGTGTGGCCGTCGGGGGCGGTGCCGGGACCAAGCGTTCCGTCGCCTTGGTGGTCGCCCGGTTGCAGACCTCTGTCTGCTTCCAGGGCTGTGGGGCTCCAGAGGCTCATCCCTGGAGGGCGGGAAGTCCTGGAGCAGTGCGGGCGTGACCGCGGGCTTTGCCCACAGAAACGCTTTCCAAGGGCTCCGGACGCAGACTAGGGGGCGTCTGGAGCCTGGTGTGGTGTCTCGTGCAGCCCGTCCCGTGGGAATGGATGCAACTTCGGGCGCAGGCGACTGGTGGGAAGTTGGAATCGTGGATTCGTGAGCACGCACTACGGGCGGCTAGGGTGAGTGGCAACTGCCACGCGCGGGCCGTCCTCACAGCAGGCGCTGTCCCTTGGGCTAAGTCGGTGGGGTCTGGTGCCCAACAGCTCTAGACGCCACCCAAGACGGCCCCTGGGCTCCTTGATGCCACACCCAGCTCCTTCGTTTTCGAGTCCATAATTAGCACTTTGCAAAAAGTAAGGTTCGGTTAGCACTGAAATGCCTGGCGGCTTGGGCTTGGGTGTCTTCCCCATTAGCCTGTTTCTGCTTCTCTTTCAGTCTCGCTTCCTGTTACCCCGTTTCCTTGACAATCATGCCACAACCTCGAGGCTTCAGGTCACAACGCTGAGTGGAGTGGCTCTGCTCACTTTTCAATGCCCTGCGAAGTTTTATTCTCGGTTCCCCACCCCAATATAAAGTAAATCATGTTTTAGTTTATTATCTTTTTAGATTTATGTGTGTTGAGTGTTCTATCTGCATGTATTGTGTACATTGCATTGTGCCTGGAAGCCAGAAGGGGGAGTTGGATCCCCAGAACTGGAGTTATGGATGATCCTGAGGCACCATGTGTGCTGGGAACAGAACTTGGTCCTCTGAGAATAGCACATGCTCCTTAACACTGAGCCATCTCTCCAGCCTCACAATTCGTATTTTACACAATTCGTATGTTTCACCCTATGTTATATCCATTTCCATAAGCCAATTGATTTGCTTTTACTTGAACTCCAAGCAATTTCTCTTATGGCTTAGTAATGTTTATAATTAGGAAAACTACGTTGAAAAGATAATCCAGGTGAACACAATGCTAACCAGCAAATGAGCTGTTGGTAGGAGGCTGTGGACGGGAAGCCAGGCAAGCTTGGTTCTCAGACATTTCTGCCACCAAGGAGGTTGAAGTATAAAAATCATCTTTACTGCGTCTTCCAAACCTAAAATGCAAATAATGAACACACATTCCTTTTTTAGTTTCCAGACCTCTTGACTTGATAATCAAAATAATAAAATTCTGTTTAAAAATTATTTATTTGGTTTTTGAGACAGAGTCTCTCTATGTAGTCCTGGTTGTCCAGGAACTCACTAAGGTAGACCAAGCTGGCTTCCACCTGCCTCTGCCTCCCAAGTGCTGGGATTAAATGTGTGTGTCCATGCCCAGCCAAGAAAAAGTTTTTAAACTGTTAACTAAACTACTTCTACTCAAGAAAGGAGGTGACTAATAACAGTTTGGCCTCTCTATCTTTGTAAAGCAGAAACTTGTCTTAATGGTTATCCTGGATGACGTCATTACATGGGGATAAGCCTGATTTGTAATGACAGAGCACCACCCTGTGTGTGTTATTCAGTCACAGATTCTGTTCAGTAGACATCCTATCACTGTGCTGGGATTGGAAATGCAGAGATAATTTAAACCCTGGATTCTGAAGCTGATCCAGGAGGATAAATCAACCCAGACAGCACATGTTTGCCGTGGTGGATGGTGTGGCACTACAGTGTGTGTTTACTGTGGTGATAGACAGCATGGCACTACAGCTCTGCTTCTGATGGCCAGGGCTTTATGTCTAGTCTGTCTCCTTGTCTAGTCCATCAGTTGTGAGGAAAAGACTTCTGGAAAAGCCAGCACTTGAAGTAAGTATTAAGTATACCTGGGAAGAGGGGTTAAGAAATGACAAAATCACAGAGAGCAAGGAGATGTGACTGCCGGGAGAAATGAGGAGTATGTTAGATATTTATAGTAAGTGATATAAACCAGTCCCAAAGGGTAAATAGGTATGACCCTACTTGAACACAGTCCTTAGAGTAAATAGACGGATGGAGACAGAAGACAGAATGCTGGTTGCTGGGAGCTGTGGAAAGGGGGCATACAGAGTTAGTGTGAATGGATAAAGGTTTGAGAAGAAAAAAAAAAGGGTCCTAGAAAAGCATGTTGATGCTTTATACAACAGAGTGAACTTAGCAGATGCCATGGAACTGCATGCTTAAATTGCTTAATCCCAGGGCTGAGAGGGATGGCTCAGTGGATAAGCATAAAGACCTGAGTTCCAATCCTCAACATCCATTGAAAAAACTGTGTATGTGACTACGTGTACGCCTGTAACCCCAGGGCTCTGGGTGGAGGGGGGGCAGACATAGGATTTCTGGGGCTTGTTGGCTACCAGCCTAGCTCTAGGTTCAGTGAGAAGAAGAGTAATAAAGCAGGATGCCCATCATCCTTCTCTGGCCTCATACTTACCATGTACTCCTCTGAGCACATACCTACGTGTGTGTATGTGGTTAATCCCCTTTTTACTGTTTCCTATCAACATGAAGCATCTCCCACCAACCTCTGCCCGTGAAGCCCAGAAACAGAACCAAGTAGCCATGCATGCCTTGAATCCCAGCACTGGGAAGACAGAGATGGGTGGATCTCTATGAGTTCAAGGCCAGCCTGGTCTGCACAGAGAATTACAGGCCAGCCAAAAGCTACTTAGGAAAACCCTATTTTGTTTAAGTAACGCTAGTATAACACATTGTATATCTTACTATATACAGAAAAAAAAAATCCCATTGGGCCATGAAATTGTGGTCAGTTTGCTAAAGTCTAGGAGCCTGTGACAAATTTGTGATAAGGAAGACAGAAAATGCAACTCTCTTCCCCCAGAAAAAGGTAAGCTATTTTAATAGAGCCCAGCCCAAGAAAAGAATGCTGGCTGGGTTCTTAGATGACACATCACCAGAGCACAGGGCTGTGAGACAGCAGACATGGCTAATGCCCTTTAGCCCACTCTGCAGCTGACAAGAGGGAGCCCCAGGGTTACCCAGTGATTGGCCCAGGGTCACTGCACAAGTCCCAGTGTACCGAGAATATGAAACCAAAACCCATTCTCCCTGCCCAGACTAGGGCTTGATACCAACAAGGTCTTAGCTGATGAAGCTGTTCTGTCCATCCAAGCAGGAACTTGACTTTCATCTCTGTCAGCCTTGTGGCCACAAATTATAAAAACACAGTTATTCAGGAGACTTGGGTGTTTGTTTGGTGGCTGATTCCATCTAGGTATCAAGGGACGGTAAGACGAAACCAGGCATGGTGATGCCTGCTTGTAATCCCAGCACTTGGGAGGGATCAGGAGTTCAAGGCCAGCATCATCTGTAAAAATGAGCTCAAGGTCTAGCCTGAGGTAAGTGAGAGACCCTGTCCTAAAACAACAAAAACAAATGAAAAACAGAAGGTGAGGAAAAGGTCATAAGTCTGTACATACATCAAAAATATGAAGCTGGCCAGATGGTTGTGGCGGCACACAATCCCAGCACTTGTGAGGCAGAGGCAGGCAGATCTCTGAGTTCAAGGACAGCCTGGTCTACAAAGCAAGTGCCAGGACAGCTCTAAAACTATACAGAGAAATCCTGTCTCGACCTCCTCCCAAAAAATGTGAAGCTGGAGAGCTGGTTCTGTGGCTGAGATCACATACAGAGTTGAGGCTTGATGTGCATGCCCTTAATTCCTGTATGTGGAAGGCAGAGGCTGGAGGATCTCTGTGAGTTTGAGGCCAGCCTGGTCTATATAGTGAGCTCTGGGACAGCCAGGACTATATTAGAGAGACCCTGTCTCCAAAAAAAAAAAAGTTTTGCTTATGTTCTGCCACTTCTGGTTCCCATTTGCTGTGGTTTGGAAGTGGTTGGAATGTGTGGTTCCCAAGCATTCACAGTGTGGGCTGTGGGGGTAATGGAGGTGGACTGAGGAGGAGAGCCTCAGGTCTTCCATCACATTCTTGCTCTGAGGAGGGATTTCCGGGCTATAGGCAGACAAACAGTATTTTGAATCAAGTCGTCTTGTGGTTCAGGTATTCTTGTGGCTATTTTAGGATGGGTGACCCAATGTAGGCAGCTTTTGAAAAGTGCAGATGGCTGTGGCTGTTAGCTGTCTCCACTGTGGTGTCTCACGTGAACTCTCATCTCTTCAACTGAATCTTTGTGTCCTCATACGGAAGGGCCTTATCTAGCATCACTTGGTGTTTCCTCTGGCCAAGCATTTTGTCTTCTCTTAAGAGAATTGTGACCTTATTTTATAGGCACAGATGAAGGAGTATGTGTGTGTGGACAACCTTGGGTATCATTTCTCAGGAGCCGCCTACCTTGTATTTGAGGCAGGGTTTCTCACTAGGCTGGGGTTCTCCTGATTTCACTAGACTGGTTGGCCACGGCACCCCAAAGAATCCTTTTTTTGTTTCCACCTTCCCAATGCTGGGAGTACAAGAATTTGCCACCATCCCTGGCTTTTTTGTGGGATTTGGGGAGCCTCATGCTTGCAAGGCAAGCACCTTGCTGAGCCATTTTCCAGCACCTTTCTCTTTTTAATCATGTATAGATGCATTATTTCCCTCTAGCCTACTGTCTTTTCTCTCTTTCTGTCTTTGCCAGGCTGGTTCTCTTCTAGCCCAGGCTGGTCTGGACTTGGTATGTAGCTCAAGCTGTCCTCATACAGCAGTCTCCCTCCACCAGCTTTGTGACATGAGTCACCATAAGCAGTCAATCTACTGTCTGTTACCACCCACTCTGTCATGTTATTTTGTGATGCCTTCCAGTGGCTCCTCTCCATCAGCTTGGCAGTTTACTTCATAGAAAACTAAGAGTTGTGTCAACAAACTTGAGATTCCCTCTTTCAGATCATTAAAGGTTTCAAACATGGACTTCTGGATGTTGTCCTTTCTATCATCCAGATCTTGGTAAAACTGAAATGGTTTCTCTTACCCAAGGGGTCCTCAAGGCTGACAGCCCACTCATTTATCTAGATGGTTCTTCTCATCTTGTTCTCCACAGCAATTTTTCAGATGGCCTCCTGGGCTCCGCCCACTCTCAGCAAAGGATCTACTGTGGCTTTGTAGATAAAACCAAGTCTGTCAAACAGTTCCGCTGCTGTGCTCCACCTTGGTTAACTTACACCTGCCCTGTTTTTTCTTGTCCCTTGGGGTGCCCAGCCCTTAAATTAGAGCCAAGCTTGTCCCCATTCCGCTCTGCTTCTCTGAAAGTAGGATCTTGCTATGTAGACTAA